GGCCCTCTTGGTGCCGACAAAGTCACGCGACAAGACGCGACGGGCCCCAGGGGCCACGCGACGCGTCCCGGCCAATTTGGCAAATTTTGGGTCTGGGCCCTTATACATAATCTTCGAGGTTTGAGTCTGAGGTTCCAGGAGATCCAACAGGGGACTTGAGGATACTCCAACTCGTGCATCAAGGGCACGATGGCGTATATAATTAGATAAACGCATGTCTAGTCACCCATAAGTGTGTGTATGTATGTATGTATGCATGCATGCATGCATGCATGCATGTATGTATGTATGTATGCATGCACGCATGTACGTATGCATGTATGTATATGTATATAAACACACATGTATATGTATGTGCGTACGTATATATATATGCATGCATGTGTACATGTATATGTATATGTATATGTACATGTATATGTTTATGTTTATGTACTTGTGTTTGTATATGTATATGTATATGTTTATGTATACGTACACGTGTATATATATATATATATATATATATATTTATATTGATATATATATGGATATGTATATGGATATGGCTATGTATATGTATATGTCTATGTATATGTATATGTATATATGTATGTATGTATGCATTTATGTATGCACGCATGCATGCATATATGTATGTGTGTATGTATGCATGTATGCATGTATATATATATATATATATATGTATGTATGCATGCATGCATGCATGTATGTATGTATGTATGTATGTATGTATGTATGTATGTATTTATGTGTGTATTTATGTGTGTATGTATGCATGCATGCATGCATGCATGCATGTATGTATGTATGTATGTATGTATGTATGTATGTATGTATGTATGTATGTATGTACGTATGTATATATGTCTGTCTGTATGTGTGTATGTATGTATGCATGTATGTATGTGTGTATATAGATATAGATAGATATACATATCAGCAAGGGCTTCGTCCTCTGCCGCCGGCTTCTCTCTCGGATAATGGGCTATGCAAGAGCTAAATCATGAGACCTCGGCGCCGCCGTGAAGCACCATCGGCAAGAGAAATTGAGATTCTGATGATATTGTTGAACTCAGTGTTGCATTTTGAACCTGCCCCCGTGTGCAGTGCACTGAGATTTCCCACAGGATTTCGGACATGTGGCAAATCCCATGGTTTTTTCGACCCTGACCCTGCTGATCTGCGTGAGGGGTGCCGCCGAATTTCAGAAATGTGGCACATCCCATTGGTTTTTCGACCCTGACCCCTCCGATGTGCGTCAGGGGTGTATGGTTTCCTCGCTGAGGTTGCAACGTAATTTACGAAGGTTGATGGTTTCGGGGACGCGAATATAGCGTAATTCTAACGTAATTTACGAGGGTTGATGGCTTCGGAGACGCGAGCATAGAGTAATTTACAGAGGGGTTATGGCTTCGGATACGCGATTCGTGTGCAATTTACGAAGGTTTATTGCTTCGGGGTCGCAACTATTGTGCAGTTACGCCGGTTTATGGCTTCGGAAACGCGAGCACTGTACAATTTACGAAGGTTTACGATTTCGGACACGCGATTATTGTATAATTTACAAAAGTATGTTGGCTCGGGGTCGCACATATTGCGTCATTTACGCAGGTTTATGGCTTCGGTGACGCGAACATTGTGTAATTTACATGGGTTGATGGCTTCGGCTGCGCGAGTATGATGTAATTTGCAAGGGTTTATGGTTTCGGGGTCGCGCATATATGGTAATTTACTGAGGTTTCTGGTTTCGGAGAAGCGAATCTTTAGTGATCTACGAAGGTTTCTGCCTTCGGACACGCGATTATTGTATACTTTACCAACTGTATATGGTTTCGGGGTCGCACATATGGCTGTCATTTACGCAGGTTTATGGTTACGGAGACGCGACGATTGTGTAATTTACTAGTTTGTGGCTTCGGATATTCGAATATAGTGTAATTTGCAAGGTTATCTGCCTTCAGGGACGCGACCATGTGATACTGTGTAATGGTTTATTGTATCAGGAACGCCATCATTGAGTAATTTACAAGGCTTTGTGGCTTCGGAGACGCGAATGTAATATAATTTGCAAAAGCTTATGGCTTCGGGGACACGAATATTGCTTGATGTGCGAGCGTTTGTGGCTTCGGGGGCACGAATATGGCGCATTTTGTAAGGTTTATGGCTTCGGGGACGCGCACATTGTGTAATTCGCGAGGGTTAATGGCCTCGGGGACGCGAATATAGTGTAATTTGCGACGGTTTATGGCCTCGGGGACGCGAATATAGTGTAATTTGCATGTCCCATGCCCCCCTAGGAATTAGAGCACGCGATTCGGGCGTGGTAATGCGGATGCTTTTCGGCTCCCCCCAACCTTCGCGCGTTCAGTGACCAGGAACAGTAAGCAACATGAAGCCATACTGTAACAGTGGAAACTGGAAACTGGCAGTGGCGCAGGGAGCTGCAAACCTTTGCCCTACAGCCTGGTGGCCCCACAAAGGGGCTGTACAGAGGTGCGGTGCGTGCACACATACAGTTTCATCTCTCGGCACATATTATATATGTATATACATATTTATATATACACACATAGATCGATAGATAGATAGATAGAGTGCCTTCCGTCTGCCCTTGTGTCTTTGTCATCGCCTTCACCCAATCATACTCATACTATGCGGCCGTCGCCCCCGAAGGGTCGACGCGGGCTCTCGGACATCTTATCGTAGATGCTCGGTGGCGTGCACTTTCCGGCCCTACCGCTGGGGTAGCGATATGCTATCAGGTGGTTGTGCTGTATCGCCTGGTCGGACGCGCGCGTCCAAAGAGGACATCGAGTATTGGTACGGTAGAGGGAAACACTTACTGAACACCCCCCCTCCCCCCAAACTCAATGTTGGCACGCGCGGGGGAGACTGCGGCCGAAGTGCATCTCCTCAGACCCATCGCCAACTTTGAACATTGGGGGGGGGAGGAGGCGTTGACGGATGAATGTGGCATGACTGTTCGCTGATTTGTTCCGAGGCCTGTATTTCCCTCTGCGTCCCGTGCCCTGCTCTCGCCCACATCGGGCGGGATCCGCAGGCGTCTCGGAGATTCTCGGGGCTGGGCCGCTGGGCCGTGTGGTCGCGTGGGGGCCAGGCGGTCAGGCGGGGGCGGACTGGCGCGGCTTGGTTTTGCAGATCCGTCACACTTAGCGCATTCCCACCATTCCATCCAGGGGAGTTGCCTGGAGGAGGGGGGTTGAGAAGCGTGCAGGAAAGTAAGGGGGGCCAGCAAGGGTGGATTCTGACCACGGGAGCCGGGATCGATCTTGGGGCCACTTTGGAAGCCTTAGGGCCCTCTGGGAGGCCTTGGGGGCTCACCCCCAGTCCGGTGTGCACAGCCTTTCGAATTCTAGCCATCTTGAGGCATCTTAGGCTACCTTGAGCCATCCTGGAGATCATTTTGGGCTCTCCAGAGGCGCTCTTGGAGCCGTTTTGGGCCATCCTGGACGCTCCAACGACTCGCGGGGCGCCCCGTCCAGGTCCAGGCGAGGTGGTAAGGGGGATGGGTAAACCCTTCCCCTGAGGGGCAGAAGGGGGTTGGAAGAGGAAATCACCACCCACCAAACCACCCCAACCCAACCCGAAGGTCTCGATTTGCCCTCCATTTCCAGTTGGGGGGGGTCGGGGAACATCGAGAAAGCACATATGGAACCTGTACCCCCCCAACCCGAAACTCGGTTTGGGTTGGGGTGGTCTGGTAGGTAGTCAGGAAACGCTCTAGACCACCTGCGCCCAGAGGGCTGGTGGCATTCCAGCTGGCACCGCCGCGTGCCCCTTTCGCTGCCTGCGGCAGGCGCTGTGGCCTCCGTTCGCTGACGCGGGCCTGGGGGCGAGGCAGTGCTCGGTCTCCTCCTCGATCGCGGAGTGCCCCGCTGGGCCTCCTTCGGTGGCCACGTGTGCACCCTACCCTACCCCCACCCGCACGATTTCTAGGTCAGAGGAGGAAAAGGTACCCACACCTCTACCCTTCGCCCGTTTTTCCCTTTTTCGGCCTCCTGGGCCTCCCTCGTCGCCACTGCTGGATTCACTTCGAGATCCTGGTCAGAACGCACCCCGAGAGAGGTCCGGGGAGCAGCGGTATCGGTACCTTTTGGCCTCCCCACTAAGGGCTGTCGGGGGTTCTCTTCGTTCGGGAGCTCCCGAGCGGAGTGAACCCCGACCCCCCCTTAGAAATCGTGGGGGGGTGGGGGGGTCGGGTTCACATGTGGCCACTTACTCCCGGTGTGCGTGAGGGCCCTCGACCAGCCCGTCGACGGTTTTCCCTCCGGGCCTTCGGGCCCGCAGCAGCTCGGATGCGGGCATCTTGCTGCTGCTTCAGCCTCTCGGGGCCCCGGGGGCTCTCTCTTGGGAGCATCCTGGAGGCCATCGATCAAAGAAGGGGGGGATCTCAACTAGATGATCCCCCCGCGGAGGCCGAACAATCGGATCTTCGGGCCATCTTGGGACGCTCTTCGGCGCTTTTGGGGCCGTCTTGAAGCTCTCATGGGCTTCTCTCGTGGCTCTCTTCGGCGAGGAGCCATCTCAAGGCCGCAAAAGCCAATCTGAAACGAAAAGGCACGATTGCAATAACTATTCACGACCCTTGGGTTTTGGATGGCCTTTGTGATCTCGGGGGGCGTCATTGGCAGTCACTATGGTCATTTAGAGCCGTCTTTGGGCAATTTGAGGTGTTCTTGGGGCCTCTTGCAGGCATGTTGGAAGCTATCTCAAACAAGTGTTGTAGGCTATTATTTCTCTTACGATTTCGATTTGTTTTTGTTTTTGTGTCGCGCAGCCTTGCGTAGTTCAGTCTCAATCGTTCGCCCCATTCTTCAGCATGCGCAGTGGGATGCAGGCACGCGGCAGTGTTATCGCTTGTGGCCAGTCTTTTGGCGTACTTCTCATCGCGTGCCTTTGATTCCACGACGAGGGGTGCTTCTCTGGTGCGCCCCTGCCTCTTCAAGCTCGCTGGGCTCACACCCGTGGCCGCGGAGGAACTGCGCCACCTTGGGGAAGCAGATCGAAGAGCGGGACGCCAAGATGGAGAAGGCTCTGCAGGAGATTCCTGGGCTCTCCGCTGGCGTCTCTGGTGCTCGGGATTGCAGGTGCAGGTGCTCTCGCCTTTGCGTGCACGTGAGCGGAGAGGCGCGTGACCTCCTCCTCCTCCTCCTCCTCCATCCCTCCATCCCTCCATCCCTCCATCCTCCCATGCGTGCACGTGGGCAGAGAGATGAGTGACCTGTCTCAGCACGCAGCCAGCTGGGCGTTCTTGCAGTGACGTGCCGGCGTCGTGTTCATCTGTCCCGCTATTCAGTTTGTGCTTTGAGTGAGCTGTATCTGTATTCTGCCGTTTTTGTCGATTTTAGCGCGCCCTCCTTGTCTTCATCCTCCGTGTATGTATCCTCATTGCCAGTTTTTATTCTTCGCTGGGGGCAGGAAAGAAGGATGATAGAGGATGATCGGTTTCTCTTTCCGAGAGATGGTGGAGGAGGAGGAGGAGGACGACAATTACATGTTGGCCGCTGGAGGTTGCTGTCATGGGCTATATGGAAGTCTCTAGTAACCACTGCTGTCGGGCTTACTCTTGGTCTCATCTTCGTGGGTTTCGTTGCCGGGTTGGGGGCTGGCTCTTCCGAGTGTTTCTGTTCTCTGGGTCGTTGCCGGTTCAAAGCGCGTCGCAGAGAGATACACGGAGGCCACCACCGTGGCCGCCGCTTGTCAGAATAGGCGATGACGGGTACGCAAATGGGCTTAGTTGGAAGTATCAGTGTGGAACAGATGAGCAGTACATTTGTCTGCCTAGATGGCAACAATCATAGTCAATTTTCGGAACACGTTTACCAGGGGAAGCACTGGCCTTGATGATGGTGATATCTACGACTGGTGAATTTTCCCAAGCGCGACATATACTGGGCGTTCTGTTCACTACGTTGGCTAATGATAATGCGACTGCAGATCTTTATATTCTACATTGGTACACATCATAGGCGCACGCGCGCAAGCAGCACTGTCAAAATGATCCCGAACGCATTTCCCGACTCTTCACGTACGCCACCCCATCCAGAATCGATTCTTCGGCGGGTTGTCGTGACCAGGGGATAATCTGAACGTGCAGTGACAAAGGGGGGGGGGTGCGCGCCGCTTTGCTTCCTTCAGAGTCTCTTTCGCATGTGGCCAACGGCCCATACCGCCACTGCGACTGGTCCGCGGACCAGAAGGCTGTTGGAGGCCCTTTGGGCTCTGTAGCGGGGCACCTTGGGTTTCTCCTAGGGGTTCGAGAGCCATCTTGCGGCGATCTTGGGGACTGCTTCTGGCGTCGTGGACGCTCGTGGTAAGACCGAGAAGACCGCAATCATCGAATCGTTTCTCGTCTCGAAAGCACACTGGGCTCTGCTGGGGCGTGTTGGGCCGGTATTTTGAGGGGTCGGTTGTAGTTCGCTTTGGGGCCTTTTTGGGGTGTTTCGCTGTTCTTTTTTTTCGTCTCCTTGCTCCACGGCCTTGCGTTACAAGCTTCGAGACCACAGAAGGTTGGAGAGTTCGGCCTTAGAGGTTGGAGATTGGAAGGTTGGGGTGGAGGTTGGCTCTCTTTTTTTTCCTGGAGCGTTTTGCTGGGGACACTGCTGGGACGTCTTTGGGGGTCGCTTGGGAAGTCTCTTGGGATTTCGTGGGCCTTCTTGGGCTATCTCGGAAAGTCTTGGTGCCTTCCAAGGGCTCTCTTGGGCTGCCTCGGTCCCGTCTTTGGCCGTCTATGAGCCCTCCTAGGTTGTCCTTGGCTGCCCGGAGTCTTTTTTCGAGCTCCATCGGAGGCCTTTTGGGGCCCTCTTGGGCAGTCTTGGAGCTCTTTGAAGCCATCTTGAAGCCATGCTGATCCGCGAAGCCGAACAGGCGTCTTGAACAACTCATCGGAGTTTGGCAGTTTTGATTGTCTGGGGCCTCTCACAAAGCGTCTTCGAGCCTTACTTGGGGTCTCTGCCGGAGGGTCTCTCGTCGTGAAGGCGGGTTGGCGCGAAGAAATCGGAGGTCAACCATAACAGGTTCTCGTTTACCCCTCCGCGGGAAGTCGAGAGGCAGCTTCCTGGAACCATCTTCGGGCTCTCGCGGGCAGTTGTTTGAGGCCCTTCGGGTTGGTGTCTTGGGCCTCCTCGGAGGCCATCCCAGAGGTCTTTGCGAAGCCCTCCCTGGACCGATCCAGGTGGCCATCGATCGAAGGTAAAGAGGGAATCCACTGGGGGCCCGTGCCAAGAAACGCGCTGCTTGCCTCCAGGGTGCTCTGGGTTTCCTGGGCCTCGATGGCTTTTCTGCGGAAGGCGCGACGTGCCCACGCCAAACATCTATGGACGTCCTGGGGTCTCAGGGTTGGGTTTCTTGTGGAAGGTTTCTTGTGGACTGGCCTCCACTGTACCCAAATAGCGTCCACCTGTCGGAGCACGACGCATGGCGCCTGGGTGCCCTTTGTAGCAGGACCTCGGAGATTTCTTGGGGGCTGTTGAGGAATCTCAAGTTCTTTATTTAATCGCTTCGCTCATTCCGCCGGCCCATACAGTCTCATGTCTGCCGTTTGCCCGAGGGCCTGGTGTCAATGCGGCGCTTTGGGGGTTCCTGGGGCCGCTTGGGGGACTCCTGGGGCGCTCGGGGGGGCATTTGGGGGGCCTCCTGGGGCCGCTTGGGGGACTCTTGGGGGCCTCCTGAGGGCCTCGTGGGGGCCTCTTGGGGCCTCTTAGGGGCCTCGTAGGGGCTTCTTAGGGCCGAGGGCTCGAAATGTTGTTTCGTGTTCCCTCTCTGGGGCCCCTTTGGGGGCGTTCTTGGGGCCCTCTTGGACCGTCTTGGAGGCTTCTTGGGCCGTCTTCGAGCCCTCTTGGGCCATCTTGGGGCCCTCTTGGGGGCCTCTTGGGCCCTCTTGGGGCGATCTTGGGGGCCTCTTGGGCCGTCTTGGGGCGTCGGGAAGCCGAAAAGGTGGAAGCTCCAAAATCTCTCAAAAACCTAAGGAAAAGCAATGAATTTTGCCTCCGGGGGCCCTCTTGGGAGTGCTCTTGGAGGCCTCTTGGGGCGTCTGGGGGCTATCTTGGGCGTCTTGGAGCGATCTTGTGGCATGTCGGACCCCTCGTGTACCATCTTGGGGGCCTCTTGGGGGCCTCTTGGCCTTTCTTGGGGCTCTCGGGGACGTCTCGGAGCCCTGTTGGTGCGCTCATGGAGCGCTCTGGTGGCTTCGCCTGGGGATCAGCCGGGAGTCGCCCGGGGTACTTTTCGTCCGGGGACCCCCAGGGGCCGCCCCGCGCGCGCGAACTAGAGAATTGTTAACCAGTTACCGGAGATCTTAGCACGCCTCTGGCCCGTTGGGCCGGCGAATTTGTAGCGAGACTTATCGTCTTACAATTCAAAGGGGCTGATTCCAACCAGCTTGACCTTCAAGCGGATACGGAAGGGTGTATTCCAACCAGAGGAAGGTTTTTTTCAACCATGAACAGCTTCATTCTAGCCCATCAGCGGCGCTTTAGAACGTGGTCGGCGTTGTGATAGTCTGCTGGGAAGCTTCTGGGACGTTGCTGTGGACAAATGTGACGGAACAGCTTCCGAGCGGGCTCCTGAGAGGGCTTCTGATTTGTCGTATTTGAGGCATCGAGCGTTTCATGCATGTCGATCCCCCCAGTCGCTACGTCTGTACACTTTAGACAGACTGCGTTCCACATGTAGCATCACAGAGTTGAGCCCAGAGAAGCAAGGTGTTCGATGGATTTCTAAACGGGTTTCTTTTTTGGGAGGAGGGGGGAGGGCGCAGATGGGCAATTCGCCCAGCGCTCACTCACATGGCTTACATTGCATGTGTTTGCCGCCAGTTCTCAACTCTGTAGCTACGAGGATCGAATTCTCGCGAACTGTGGCTGACTCTGCTTGCGGGCACAAATGTGGTGCGCACAGGTATGAAAACCGAGCCTTGCCACAAGGCATAGGTGCGCGCAAGCGCTGCGGCGGTGCCGGGCGCTGGGGGCACACTGCAGCGATTGGGGGGGACGTGGCGTTACGGGCCTCCTCCTCCCCCACATCGCCCCTCCAAACGCCCGTACACATAAGACGAACTTCTCCATCGAATGTGGTAGCAATCTGGGGTCATGCGATTCGGCGAGTAAAACCGAGAGCGCGAAAAGGTAAAGCGAGTGTGAGACAAGTATGACCTACAACAGTACGAGAGCCAATTGAGGATGGCACACGGACGGGCTGACGAAAGGGGCGTGGGTGGCTGCTGCTGCTGCTGATGCTGCTCATTCCATATTGTTCTGCAGTGTGGGCTCTTTGTTTCCAGTTCTAGTTTTTTCCATTCGATTCCTCCCCTACCTCTTCCTACCAGCGCTCAGGAGAGCTTGGTCAGGGCGCAGGAGGAGAGGCCGCCTTGGCTGCCAGCTTTTCGTGAGCGTCGGCGTCGTTATGGTCTTGGTCGTCGTCGCCGTCGTCGTCGTCGTCGTCGTCGTCGCCGTCGTCGTCGTCGTCGTCGTCGTCGTCGTCGCCGGCGGCGTAGCGGCCGCCGCCGAAGCGGCCTCGCCCGCTGGCCACCGTCCCCGGCCAGACGGCCTCCGCCATTACGGCACGCCGCCGCGCCGCGGTCCCCGCGGCCGCCAGCCGCCGCGCCGCGCCGCGGCGCGGCGCCAGCGGCCCCGGGCTCCCAGCAACAGTCGTGCAGATCGCAGCAGTCCTGCAGGGTGGCTGGCCTCGCCACAGGATGCAACGAGGAGGAGGAGGAGGAGGAGGAGGAGGAGGAGGAGGAGGAGGAGGAGGAGGAGGAGGAGGAGGAGGAGGAGGAGGAGGAGGAGGAGGAGGAGGAGGAGAGGAGGAGGAGGAGGAGGAGGAGGAGGAGGAGGAGGAGGAGGAGGAGGAGGAGGAGGAGGAGAGGAGGAGGAGGAGGAGGAGGAGGAGGAGGAGGAGGAGGTGAGGAGGAGGAGGAGGAGGAGGAGGAGGAGGAGGAGGAGGAGGAGGAGGAGGAGGAGGAGGAGGAGGAGAGGAGGAGGAGGAGGAGGAGGAGGAGGAGCGAGGAGGAGGAGGAGGAGGAGGAGGAGGAGGAGGAGGAGGAGGAGGAGGAGGAGGAGGAGGAGCCGTGGAGAGCCGCGGGAGCGCCGTGGCAGCCGCGGGGCGCCGACGGGCGCGCAGCGGCCTGGAGGCGCGGCCTCGCGAGGCGCGGCCCTGGAAGGCCCGTGCGGAGGGGTCCCGCGCGGCCTCCCCCCCCCGAGCGGCGGCGGCGGCCCTCGGCCGCCGCGAGGGCCCCGGAGGCCCTCCGCGCCTACAACCGAGCTCAGAGGGGGCAGAGGTACCCATGCCTCTATACCCCTTCCTCGTTCTCCCCTTTGTGGGCCTCCTCGGAGGCTCGCGTCGTCACCGCTGGATTCGCCTCGAAGTTCAGGTCAGAGCGCGCCCCGGGAGAGGTCCGGGGAGTGGCGCTATCGGTAACTTTTTGTTGCCCCACGAGCGGCCGGCCGGCCCGGTGCGATGGGACTCGGAGGAGGAAGACTTTGGCGCCACGGGGGAGATTCGGCCACACGCAAGAGCGACCTGTCGCCAGAGTGGCCTCTGGTGCGGGGCCCGGGGGGTCCCCCCCGATCGCCGAGCGCGGTGCAGCGGTGGCGTCTCGATGGCCTGCGTCTGGCTCCCCCGCGGCCCCCGAGAGAGCCGCGCACCAGAGGTCACGCCTTGCCCAGGACCCAGAGTCTTGGCATCGCTCGGACGTGTGCAGTTTTCCTTCGGCGAGGACCATCGAGGAGAATCCTTGATCATTTGGCGAAAAAGCCACGCGCGAAACCGAACAAAAACACAGGGAATGGACGTCCGAGCGATGGCGAGGAGTGCGCGTCGCCGAGAAGCGAGTCCCGAGGAAAGCGGGTTCCGAGGCCTTTCGCCGTTTCCTGCCCTCGGTGCCCTCCGAGGGCCAAAGGGCTCCGGACCGAGAACACGGCTCGGGGCGAGACAAGTGGTCCTGGCGAGAGGGCCCAGGGTTCCAGGGCCCGTTTCCCTCGGGACCCGCTTCCCCCCTGCGAAGTCCTGGGGATACGGGCCCCAATAATATACATACCACCACCTCCATGCCCCCTCGCTCCTCCACCCTCATCTTCCCTCTTCTTTCCTGGGAGGGGGAGGGGATGAGGTGGTGTATACCTTTGGGCCCCGCATGGGGAGGTCAGCCACAGATCTGGGTGGGCCCGTGAGGAGGCAGTGCCGAAGGCGCCAGGGGTCAGCTCTGGCCAGGAGCAGACAGAGCACGCGGCCAACTCGTGTTTTTTCTATGGCTTTTTTTCAGGCCAGCCACAACTGGGGGAGCTGTGGTCCTTGCCCCCCTGGGGGACCCATCGGTTTCGACACCCCTCTCTCGAGAGATCGCCGATGCGATGGGTTCCCCCAGGGGGGTAAGGTCCACAGCTCCCCCAGTCATGGCTGGTCGGTTTTTGAGATTCGAGGATCTCGGCCTCTCGCTTGCCGGGGGGGGCCGAGAGGCGGGAGCGCGCGAGGAGGCAGGCCGGCGGGCCCCGGGAGGAGATGCAGGCAGCCCGCACAGGAAGGTACCGTCGGGGCCCCGAAGAAGGAACCCTTTTCGTTGGGGAGCCCTCCTCCTCCTCCTCCTCCTCCTCCTCCTCCTCCTCCTCCTCCTCCTCCTCCGCGTTCCTTACATGTTTCACAGCTTGCCTCAGGCTTTCCTTATGTTTTCGGCAGGGAGTCGAAGGTTAACTTATGGAAAAAAGGGGCCTCGTTCCTCATTTTGGGTTCCTTAGGTCAAGCCCCCGACTGTAGAGCCACTTTCCAAGGTTGCTCTTGCATCCTTCCCCTTCGGCCCAGCCTTGGCCGCTTTCGCTGGCCGCGCCCCGCTCGCACAGTGTCCACAGGGCCTTCCGAGGCCCCTGCATCCTGATCGTATTCTACGCGTTGGCCGTAGCCAAGAATCGAGTAGGGGGTCGACTGCATAATTTATTCACCTCATAATTCGTTTATTCCATGGGAAACGCGTAGAATGTCCGTAGATCTGCGAACATTCTATGCATGGTTCGGCCGGCCAGAAGCCCAATTCTGGGGTAAACCGATTTTGTAGACGAGCCCCCGCTCGAGAGAAGGCACGCGAAACCTGGGGCCCTCGAGGACAGCCTCGGGCCCCCCGATAGGCCCCCGAGAACTGCCTCCTCGCACGCTCGCCCCCGTCTGGGTCTGTGCACGCCTTCGGGCTGTGTCTGCGTCGCTGGGGGCACCCACTTCGAGCCTGTCTGTCGGCGGCGAGCCCGGGGAGGTGAGAAGGGGCCCCTGGCCTTTGGGAAGTTGTCCGAGCCGTCCCCGAAGAGAAAGACCTCTCAGAAGGCCTGGGGCCTTCTGAGAGGCCCCCGCCGCCTTCTGAGAGGGCCTCCTCCTTCTCACTTCCCACCTCGCTCGCCGCCGAGTCCGAGCTCCGCCGTGCAGAGAGATGCCTTGTCCTGAAGAGAACTCGAGACGGTGGGGCTGCTCGAAGTAGAAACAACGGGCGTACACGTACTGCATCCATTCGGAGCTCTGCAAGGATTTTTTCGGGGGTGGACAGAACCTCCACCCTGACACGTCGATTAGTGAATTGTCCGTTTTCGGTTCTCGAGAGGGCGCCGCGGCCGTCATTTGCCAGGCTTGCGCCCGCCAGGTTGGGGCCCGATGTCGTTTTCACTAAACCACGTTTTACTAAAGGGGGTTCTGTCCATCTCCGATTCTTAGAGCAGCACTGTGCCCCCCTGGCGGCGCCTCAGGGCGCCGTTCCTGGGGCCGGCGCGGATCCAAGCAATCCGCGCGGACCTCCAGCACACGATGCTTCCGCAGTCAGCTTGTGCTTCCTCGGCCTTTGGCCACCTTTGGCCTCGTGGGGGCCCTCGCCGGGCCCCAGGGCCGTCATGACTCGACTCCTGATGAAGAGCCAGTCCCAGGGAAGTGGTCGAGACTTCCGGGGGTCCACGCTGTTTAGGATGGGAAGCACACAGACACAAATGATCACCGACTGCCCGGGAAATGTGGAACACACATATGGAGAGCGGAGGGGAAGGCGAACGCACAGGAAATGTGGAGCACTATGGTGGTCCTGGGATCTGTGTCTACTTCTTTGTGCGTCCCTGGGCCCCTTCAGGTGTGAACAGAAATCATGACGGCGGAGGTCTGGTGTTATGATGTTCCAGCCTACTTTAGCCTTGATCACCGTGTGTCGGGCCCTGGGAGGGTTCTCACGTGTCGGGCCCTGGGAGGCGATGCTCGCTCGACACTTCGCTAGCGTGTCGGGCAGACACCGCTTCGATACCGTTCTGGGTGCTCGATATATATATATATATATATATATATATATATATATATATATTTATTTTTTTTTTTTTTTTTTTTTTGTTTCAGGATGTGGTCCTTGCGTGCGACGGGTCCAAGTCTGGGTTTGCGCGGGGCCGAGGAATTCGACCGCCGGGCCAGGGAGAAGGACCAGAAGGACGGGCGTGCCGCGCGGCCCCCTCGCCCCCTCCGTCCGTCCGTCGTCGTCCTGGTCGTCGTCGTCGTCGTCGTCGTCGTCGTCGTCGTCCTGGTCGTCGTCGTCGTCGTCCTGGTCGTCGTCGTCGTCGTCACCGCCGCGGCCACCACCGCCGCCTTCGGCGTCGGCGTCATCCTCGACTTCCACGACCTCGACCTTGACGTCGTCGTCCTCGGCGTCATTCTCGACTTCCTCGACCTCGACCTTGAGGTCGTCGTCGTCGTCGTCGGTCGTCGTCGGTCTCGGCATCTGCGTCGCCGTCGTTTGTATCCTTGTCCTCGTGTTCGTTCTCACCGTCGTCCTTTTCGCCGTTCTCGTCGTTCTCCAAATCTGCTTCCGACGCCTTCCTGCTTCAGGCTTCTGCCTACTTCGACCGCTGGGTAAGACACACATCTGAGGAGGCCGAGCCAGAGGAGAGCAGCATCAGCAAATGGGAGGGGTTGGAAAGGGAGGGAGGGGGCGGACGGGCCAATGTTTGTATGCAGAACCTTATTTCGTCATTTGAGGCCTAGGCAATTGTTCTAGACGAGGTCATCGAGAACGTAGCGCGTTTGGTTGCAGAGGCGTTCGGCTGTCAGATTGCCGACCTAAGCTTTGGCAACTACATAAGTACAGGGGGAGGAGGGAGGTAGAGGAGGGGCGGGGAGGGTGGGACGCGCAAGTTGGGAGGTGGAGGTGGAGGGGGAGGAGGAGGAGGAGCAGGAGGAGGAGGAGGAGGAGGAGGAGGAGGAGGAGGAGGAGGAGGAGGAGGAGGAGGAGGCCGCCGACGACGACGACGAGGCGGACGACGGACGACGGACGACGGACGACGAGCACGAACACGGACGGGACGACTGGCGGCGGCGAGGACGGCGGCGACGGCAGCGGCTCCGCGCCGCGCCGAGGAGAGGGCCGACAGGGAGCGGAAGGCTGGCGGGCGTTGGCTGGACGTCGTCGACAACGACGGCGCTTGGACGACGACGACGACGACGAGGCTGTTTCGGCCTTTTGAGATGGCGTGCCGGGCGCCCCCCCCAGGGCGCCACGGCCAGGCTTCCCCGGGAGGGCGGGGTAATGACGCACCCCGGGAGAGGCTGTCGCCGTCGTCGTCGGAGGGCGAGGAGGAGGAGGAGGAGGAGGAGGAGGAGGAGGAGGAGGAGGAGGAGGAGGTCGTGGACTAAGGCTGCCCTGCCACGAGTGTGCGAAGGTAGTCGCGCTTCGCTGTCTGGGCGATTTCAGAGCGAGGCGCGAGTCCCTCATCCTGTTCCGGGGAAGGCGGGGTGGGCGGCGCGAACGCACGAATATAATCGCGTTTCGTGCTTCGTGGAGCGCGAAGCGCGAGGAAAGTTGCCCTAGGTGGAGGTGAGGGGAGAGGAGGAGAAGAGGCAGCGCATGATGGAGAAGGGTGGGAGGGAGAAGAGACTGAGGAGGAGGAGGAGGAGGAGGAGAAGGAGGGGGAGGAAGAGAAGGAGGCGCAGGCGGAGGAGGTCGTGGAGCTTGGGGGGAGGAGGTCGGGGGCCGATTTATTGCCACCGCCTCTATCCGCGTACCTTGTGGTGGACCAGCTCGTTTGCGGGGTTGGTGTGCAAACATCGTGCCACCAGGGCATGCTATGTTTGTACAACTCCTGCTCCGTGGTCTTGTGCCGGACCAGCTCGTTTGTGGGGGTTGCGTACAAACATCACGAGAAGAGGCAGAGCATGATGGGGAAGGGTTGGAGGGAAAAGAGACTGAGGAAGGGAAGGAGGATGAGGAGGAGAAACGCTGATGATGCTGCTAATGATGATGCTGATGATGGTACTTCGGATGGCGATGTTGATGCTGATGATGACGATGATGATGACGATGCTGATGCTGCTGCTGCTGATGATGATGATGATGATGATGATGATCATGATGATGATGATGATTATGATGATGATGATGATGATGATGATGATGATGATGATGATGATGATGATGATGATGATGCTGCTGGTGAGGATGATGAAAAAGCAAAACACGTTCCAATCCCCTCGGAAAACGACGTTCGGGGGTTCACAGCGGTCGGAACTGCTCCAGACGGCCCAACACGCCCCCAAAATGGGCCCAAGAGAGCCCAAGAGGGCCCCCACGAGCGCCCCAAAACGGCCCCAAGAGGGGCCCAAGAGGGGGCCAGGAACTGACAAGTCCAGCGTTCAGCCCCAAGAGGCCCCCAAGATGCCCCAAGAGGCCCCCAGGAGGCCCCCAAGAGGCCCCCAGGAGGCCTCCGAGAGGCACCTCAAGGAGCCCACAGAGGCTTCCAAGAGACCCCAAGAGGCCCCAGCACGGCCCGCAAGAGGCCTCGCTACTGCCTCCAGAAGCCCCCGAGAGGCCAACAACGAGAGCCCAATCAACATCCATGAGGCCTCCGACCCACCACCCAGGCACCATGGCGCGACGGGCCGTGGGCCAAACTATCATACGCATTGACAACGATCACCCGGGCAATTGGCAGCGCTCCAAGTGGCACTCGAACGATCGGTCCGAAACACCCACGATGGCTTCCAGACGGCCCACGACGCGCAGAAGATCCCCGAAGAGGCCACCTGTGGAAGGGATGAGTGTGCCTGTGAGTCTATCTGCATGTGCCCACCCCCTGGGGGACAGAGCCAGCACTAGGAGTCGGGATGCCCCCCAGAAACGCGTGCACCTTGAGGGCAGTGAGGTTAGAGGTAGAGAAAAGCGGGCGTCGCCACCAGCATGGCCTGCAACATCTTCAAACTATTAAAACGACTCCCAAGAGAGCCCCAAGAGGCAATCCCCGACAAACGACAGCGGCGAGGCAACATGGGTCGGCGGAATGAGCAAAGCGATTCACACAACAGCAACCAGCTCGTCATCATCAACAACACCAACACAAACCACAACACCAACAACAACGACAACAACAACAGCCGCAGCAACATCAACATCATCACCAGCACCATCACCACCACAATCATCATCAGCATCATACTCAGCAACAACTTCATCATCATATCACCATCAGCATCGTCATCGACATCATCGTCATCAGCATCAGCATCATCAGCATGAGCATCATCATCCTCATCATCATCAGCATCATCATATTCATCGTCGTATTCGTAGTCATATTCGTCATGAGCAGCATCAGCATCAGCAACATCATCAGCAGCAGCGTCATCAGCAGCATCATCAGCAGCAGCGGCATCATCATCACCGTCAGCAACATCGTCGTCACCATGGGCCCCCTTGGAGAGCCTCTTGAGGCTCTCTTGGGTTTTTTTGCGGCCTCAGGGGCGATTTGGAGACCATCTTGAGCGTCTTGGAACGATCTTTCGGCGGCTTGGGGTCTCTTGTGCCGTGTAGGGGGCGTCCCGGCGCCCTCCTGGCGCGCTCTTGGAGCGCCCAGGTATCGCCCGGGTATCACCTGGGCATCGCCCGGGCATCGGCTGGGATGCTTGTCGCCCAGGTGTCCCCAGGGGCCGCCACGCGTGCGCGAACTAGAAATATTGTTAACCGGTTGCCGGAAATCTTAGAAATTCTAGACGCTTCGCTTATCCCCACCAGCCCATCCCGAAACGATGTCCAGGCGAGTTGAGGTGATCAGGGAAGTGCGGCAGCAAAGAGGAGGACGGCCGAACCGTGCAAAGGAGTGAGGAGGAGAAGGAGGAGGTGGATGGATGGATGGATGAGGGAGTGGGAAGACGGAGGATGAATAGGATGAGGAGGAGGCGGAGGAGGAGGAGGAGGAGGAGGAGGAGGAGGAGGAGTAGGAGCAGGAAGGAGGAACAGGAGGAGGAGGAGGAGGAGGGCAAGCACAAGGGCCAGAGGTCTCTTGGATGCCTCTAGGAGCCTCTTGGAGTATCTCTTGGGCGATTCTTGGGGGCCTCTTGGGACGTCTTGGGGGTCTCTTGGCGATCCTGGGGGGCTCTTCGGGGTCTTGGGTGCCTCGGGGGGGGGGCCTCTTGGGGCCTCTGAGGGTCTTCTTGGGGGCCTTCTGGGGGCCTCTTGGGGGCCTCTTGGGGCCATCTTGGGGCCATCTTGGGACCTCTTGGGGCCTCCTGGGCGCTTCTTTGTGCCATCTTGGAGGAGATCTATCAAAGAAGAGCTGAGCTTTAATTAGCGTTGCCCCCCCAGGAGGCCAAAATGGGGCCAAAACCCTGCTAAAATCAATGATTTTGGCTTCCTCGCCGAGGCTGTTTTGGACGCTCTGACCGCTCCCCGCCCCTCCTGTCCAGGTCAGTGGGGAGGGGGTAGGGGGAGGGGTAAACCCCTCCCCGAAGGGGAAGAGGGAGGGGTGGAAGAGGAAACGCCCTAAACCACCGACGCCCAGAGGGCTGGTGGGATTATGGGAAATATTATAAAGATGTGGAAAAAAGGAGAAAGAAGGGGAGGGGGATGACGGAGGAGGAATAATAGGTAGGCGAGGGGGAAGGGGATCCTGGAGAGCTCATATGGCCACTTGGAATCGTCCTGGGACGGTCTCGGAGCGTCTTGGAACATCTTCGGAGCCATCTTGAGGCAGGTTGCGCTATCTTGAGCCAGCCTGTTGGAATCGTGTTGGAGCAGTCTTGGAACGTCTTGAAACATCGTCGGAGCCATCTTGAGGCAGGTCGCGCAATCGTCAGCCATCTTGGAAGGTGTCTTGGGCTTCCCGAGGCTCTCAGGGAGCCGTCTTGGCCCATCTTTGACGACCTTGTGAGCCTCTTGGAGGCCTCTTGGGCGTCGTTTGGGGCGCTCTTGAAGCGCTCTTAGAGGCCTCAGAGGCGCTGGTAGAGCCATGTTGGAGGGGATCTGGCAAAGAAAGCGGAAGCATTTTTAGCGTCGCCCTTGTAGAGCCTTTAAAATCGCCTCCTGAACCCCTCTTGGGATGCTCTTGGAGCGTTCGTTGCCGCTCTTGGCGCCGTCTTGGGGCTTTCTTGGGCCCCTTTTGGAGCTATCTTGAGCCATCTTAGAGCCATCTTGACACCTCGGATGCGCATCGCAAGCGAAAAAGTGAGAACACCAAAAACATTGATTTTCCCTAGGGTTTTGAAGCATTTTGGCCTCTTGGAGGCATCCTAGTGATGCTCTTGTGAGCACTTGGAACCGTTTTGGGAAGCTCTTGGAGCGTCTTGGAACATCATGGGGACCATCTTGAGGCATCTTGCGCTATCTGGAGCCATCTTGGAGGTCATTTGGAGCTCCCTGAGGCTCTCTTGGAGCCGTGTTGGGCCATCTTGGACGCTCTAACTACCCGCGGCCCCCCCTGTCCAGGTCAGTGGGGAGGGGGTAGGGGGAGGGGTGAACCCCTCCCCGAAGGGGAAGAAGGAGGGGTGGAAGAGGAAACGCTCTAAACCACCGACGCCCAGAGGGCTGGTGGGATTCCCCAATCAGTGCTTGCACTGAAGGGGTCCTCGCGGAAGTTGAAGGATTTGGCGAAAGTTTCCCGCCGATGTTTGTCGCACGCTGGGTTCCCGGTTTCCCGGTTCCGGGTTCCCGGGTTCCCGGTTCCGGATTTCGGAGGGCGGCGAGGTTTCTGGGTTCTTGGGTTCTTGGTCGATTTTTTTATCGATGGGTCTCACCATCGATCTCATTACCCACTTCTTTATCGATCGCACCATCGATCTCACAATCGATCCCACTATCGATACCACAAACGGTCTCACTAGAGATCGCATGAGCGATCTCGCGATCGATCTCACTATCGATCTCATTGAATCGATGTCACTCTCGGTCTCACGATCGACCTTACAATCGTCTTCACTATCGATTCCACTATCGATCTCATGATAGAACTCACAACCGATTTCAATATCCATAGTATTCATTTTCGAATCATCCACTGATTGGGTTTTCTCAGGTGTAATATTGTGAACCTGTTGCCGGAGATCTTAGCACGCCTCTGGCCCGTTGGGCTGGCGAATTAGATGATGCTGGTTTTTGTTTTCTGTTATACTTATGACGTTGTTGTTGTTGATCGCCCCTCCTCCGGTAATATATGTGCTTTCAGTGGAAATTCCCCCTTCTGGATTCGCACCCTGTTTGCCACAAATGAAAGTGTTGAGCGTCAGATTGGGCCCCAAGCCCCCGAAGCACAACAACAACAACAACCACAACAACAACAACAACAACAACAACAACAACAACAACAACAACAACAACGAAACCCGCCTGATTTTCCCTCACAATGTATTGAATCATCGTGCTCCTGCTCGAGACTCTCATGCAATTTGTTCGGGATCCGCGCTCTCGCCTCAGACTTCCTGACGTTTTCTGCGATTGACACCACGGAGCCTGCGCCACACGTGGCGTGCACCGTGTCGCAGTCAGCGCGCACAGCCTGCACCACATGGCGTGCGCCTCGTGTGTTGTGCCACATGGCTTGCACACCCAAGGTGCAAGAACTCATGGGTTTGGATCCACGTTGGCAAACATCGGTTCAGCACTCGAGGAAGCCTCAAGTGAGAGCCCCATCTTGACAATGAGCCGCTTTGCATCCGTGCAGCCGTAAGCTTCGGGCCGTCAAGTTCGAGGAACACCCAGGCACAGCCACGTTCCCTGGATCCCTGGCACTGTAGCAACCTCTGGTGACGAATGTGCGCGGCGCCAAGGCGACAGCCCCCATCTTGAGAACGCACCGCCCTCCGTCCCTGGAGCTGTGGCTACCTTGGAACAAAAAGGGTGTGCGCTGTGCTGCGGCGAGAGCGCCGTTTTGCACAGGACCCGCTCTCCACTCGCGCAGGTAGGAGCTTCTCTACAGGGAAACGGGGCGGAGGAAGAGGCGAAAGAGGAGGAGGAGGAGGAGGAGGATGAGGGAGGAGGAGGAGGAGGAGGAGGAGGAGGAAAAGGAGGAGGAGGAGGAGGAGGAGGAGGAGGAGGAGGAGGAGGAGGAGGAGGAGGAGGAGGAGGACAAGTGCAAAGCCAAGATTCTCAAACGATTTTGCAAGAAACCCTTCCTCCAAGATCCCTCTCCCCAGGCCCCATGCACGGATTTGTTTTTGCTGATTCAAGTGCCCCGTAAGACAACCGTTTGAAAATCTGGAACTGTGCCAGAGCACCATTTCTAGGATCTCAACGCCGCGAATCACTGTTACTGTTGCGTCTTGACGACCCTGAACCGTGCCAGAGCACCATTCCTGGGACTCAATCATTGCGGATCAACGTCACTGATGCGCCCTGGCATTCCGACGTCGTGCCAACACACGATTTCTGGGACGTTATCCCTGAGAATCCTTGGAATAATGTTTAAAGATAATGCGTGCGGCGCCAAGGCGAGGGCGATGATTACATTTTGAGAGCGGACTGCCCTCCATCCGTGAAGCTTTTAGTATACATTTTTGGAACGAATGTGCGCGGCGCTGAGGCGAGAGCTCCTGCAAATCTCAAGCTTTAGCAGCATAGATGGCGAGGAAGCTTCAGGCGGAACGCCCGGCCTGCCCGTTCGACCCGCTTCGGGGTGCGAAAGGGAGGAGTTCCTTATAAGGAATAGGCATGGAGGAGGAGGGGGAGGGGGAGGAGGAGGAGGAGGAGGAGGAGGAGGAGGAGGAGGAGGAGGGTGGATGATGTTGGTGGTGATGGCGGTCCTGGCGCCGGTGCTGCTGCTGCTGCCGCTCATGATTGTCGTGGCTCTGATAAATAGGTCGGGCTTAGACTGGACTTGGGGAGGCTTGGCGTTTGTGGGTCGGTTTCGCCCTGTCAATCAGAACCTGTCTTCCTCATCCTCATCCTCCACCTCCCGCCTTCTCGCCTCTCGTCCTCCGGCTCGCATTCCTCGTCCTCTTTGACCCCCCTTTATCTTCCTCGTCTACTTCTGTTGCTGCGTATCTTCGTCATTTTCCTTGTTGCTCTTTCTCTTATCTCATTCTTCATCCTCCTTATGTTCCCCTCCTTCTCCACCTGCTGATGCATCTGCTCATCCTCCCTTCTTTTCCCTTACGATCCTCTTCCGTCCGCCATTCGGTTGCGCCTGCTCTTTGTGTTTCGCATTCTCGACCCCCCCTCGTCGTTTCCTTTGTCGCTTTTACTGCCGTCGCCGCCGTTACCGTTGCCGACGCAGCTGTTGTCGCCGTCGTCGGAGTTTTGGGGGGGAGTGGGGGGGGGAAGCGTCGTCGTCGTCGTCGCTTTTGTCGCCGCCGCCGCAACCGCTATCGTGGTGGTGGTGGTGCTGGAAGGGGTGGTGGTGGTGGTGGTGGTCGTCGTCGTCGTCCCGCGAAAGTCTACCCCCAGACCTGTCGAGCGCTGCTTTCTGACACCAGTCTCGGGGCGAGTCCAGCCGCGGCGACGAGGGCGCTTCCGGAGGCCCCCTGAATACTGCAACTCTTCCGGTCGGCACCGCCGTCGCGGTCGTCCGTGCCGCCGCCAGCGCCGTGGCCGCCCCCCCCGCCGTGGTCCCCGGTGCCCGTGGGCCGCCAGACCAAAGAGATGGTCGACACGCTGCACGAGCAG